TAGATGTGGCTTTGGGGAGGTGGAAGAGATGCTCGGCCGCTGCCTCGGTTTCCCCCCTCGCCGGCGCGATGGGACCCGGCGCCAGCAGACGGAGCTGGGCGGCCGTCCCAGTGCTCGCGGGGCCACCGGGGAGACGGCCGCATCCTGCCAACCCCCATCATGTAGGTGAGCGAATCCAGCCCTGCACGGACGCGTGGATATTTGCACCCGGAGCGATGCTGGAGCCGCCCCCACCAGCGCCTCCGTTCTACTTTTCCATTGCACGGCTTTACCAAAAAACACTCCTTTTCCCCCAAAAGAGCACTGGGACTCAGGGGGAGGACGCGGGGCTTGAAAACAGACCCCTCCGCCTTGCAATAAAGTTTTGCCTTGAAACATTCTCTTTTTTTTTTTTTTTTTTTTTAATCAAATCCAGCGTGTTTAGCACCAGTTGCAACATGGGGAAGAGCCACATCCCCGAGGGATGCTGCACGGAGGGTGGCGGGGGGGTGAGCATGATGCCTGGGGACAAAATCCCCCTCCAAGCCCCATCTCTCTGGCTTTGATACGATCAACCATGTCCCAAATCTTTAGCATCCCTGGCCCAAAACACACCCAGCCGTGGGGCTGACCCCCACCTCAGGTGCTTCACGTTTAGCAGAGAGGATGCAAATCCTCCCCGGGAAGAGCTTAAAAGCAGCGGTGAAGGATGCTCTCCCCTCCGGCATCGCTGTTTTCTTCTCTAGTCCCTGTCCTGCGTGGTTAAACCTTCCCGAAAACCCAGTTTAGCTCCAGCAGCTGTGAGTAAAGCAAACAAAGAGGCACGGAGCGAAATATTGGGGATCTCCAAAAAACCTGTGGGCGGCAGCAATCACAGTCATCCAACAAGTAAGTCCCTCCCTGAAACATTTTTGAGCCTGGATGTCTGTCAGGGGGTCACCTCCCCTTGGAATTAGTGGTTTTGGGGGGTATAAATACCCTTATCATCTCCCCAGGAGTGCTGTTGAGTCGGGTCTCGCCTCTCTCACAGGCTGGAAGGAGCCCTGGCCGTTGCATGTTGATTTTCTGGGCTCTTTGACAAGAGTAATTTGAATTTTACAGCAGTCATTTGGCTCCTGAGGGATTTAATAGTGTTTTGGAGCAGGTGGGCGCAGGATGCTCCCATGGCTTAGGGACAGCTTTTAAATCCAACTATTCCTATAATGCAGAGAGGGGTCTTTGGTTTTTTTTTTTTAATGTGCCTGTTTAAAACAACCACTAAACCCGGCAGAAACTCCAGCCGCGGCTCAAATTTACATTTTCCCAGCCCGCGTTTTGCATCCCAACCTGTTTTGACATCCGGATCCCCGTCAAGAGCATCCTCTGCTCCCGCCCCTCATTTGCACCCTGAGCTCAGAAACGCCGCCGGGACGATCCCGCGCTTCCTACAGCCTATTCCCTACTTTTTCTTGCCTTTTTTTTTTTTTTTTTTTTTTTTTCCCCTCCTGCCAGGGTGCAATACCTGGGGACACACCGATGCCCATTCCCGATTTAATTCCCAGCCTTTCCAAAGGAAAAAGGCCTTAAAAGTGATGAACATCCTCGTTAATCAGCTTGCGCTGGGGAGTTTTGGGGTTGGGTGATGGGATGGGGGCTGCTCTCGATGCCGCGATCCCTCGGAGATGGGATTTTTTCTCTAGGCGAGTGGTTGAAGGTAAAGTCAAGGTGGTTTTTGTGCCTCCGGTTGCGAAGCTTGATTTAATTTTAGAGGGTTTTTTGGGAGCCCCAGC